AATTTTTTTCTCCACTATTTGGGAATTATTTGGTGGCCAAATTTGAATGTGGATTGAGTTTGGGGCTACTCCATTTGCAATATGGTGCCGTCGTTTCTTTAATCTCCACTACTTTCTTTCTTCTCTTATCTCTTCTTATTTTTGTGACACTTCATCAAGCTATAAGTCAACGATATATATGTCCTTTGCTTGCTTCTTTTTGTCTCAATCTCTTCCTCTTAGTTATTTTTCAAGTTGACTAAGTTTTTTAAATTAAATGTCTCTATCATATCATGTGATAGTTTACTTCTTTTTCTCCAATTTATTAACTCTCCATTCTCAAAATCATTGTGACTGGAGAATATTGGCAAGAGAAGAAAACATGAGGATCGATGATGATTTTTAGTGAAGTTTGAACCGTCCACTAAAGTAGGTGTAGACTGGACTTACATACTGCAACTCGAATTTAATGATTTTAGAGTACTTGACTATAACAAAATGATCTAATAAATATTTGTATTTTGTTAATATATTTTATTAATCTCTAGCGAAAAGGTCGTATAATTAAGCTAACAATTTTAATTGTTATAGCCTGCAAGGGTTGGCTGAGTTGGTTGGGTGAGTGATTTCCCACATGGGAGACCTAAGATCGATTTCCCTCACCAGCAGCTTCCTCTATCAGAGTTCGTCGATCATACCGGACGTGCCTAGTGCGGTTTACATGAGTGTATTACAAAAAAAAAAATGGTTATAACATCAATCTTCTTCCAAGATATAGTTAGTAAGAAGAATTAACCTAATTAACCGTCCACTCAATTGCTTAAACAAAAAATAGTCGATGAAGGTATAACATATGTATAATTTATGTTTAATATGTGTATAATCATCGTATAATTTATGCATATGACTAGAAAAAATAAAAATAAACAATGAATATGGCCGACTCAAACCGAGTCAAAAATATTTATGTATAATACTCTTCAATTGTTGAGTGAATTTGGAGTATAATTTATAAATGAAAAGGGGATATGCTTCCGTACGATTGACTTTCTTCTTGAACACAAATTTAATGGTCCTTAGAACATAACACAGAACCAAAAAAAGCTACTTCTCCACGTAAACGTTAACATTAACACAACTTATTTCACATACTTTTAATAGAATTAAAGGTCAAGATTCGCCATATTAGATGAAGCATAATTGATCCATACACAGTTTCCATTTATGCGAGGGCGATAATTTGAGCCCAAACTCATCCAACCCACTAACTCGCCCAGAGATAAATGGGTTGGGCTAGAAACATTTTCGCTCGTACGTCTATTTGGGTAAAGCTCAAGTTAACCCATCATTTTTTATAGCCCATTTTGACCCATGAAACAACCCAAATACAATCTATGAAGCTCACCAAAACAAAGGAATCTCAACCCAACTAAAGGCTTGTCTAGAAATTTACTTAGTTGCCAATCATTAGTTTTTGTATCTAAGGTGAAAAACGAGAATCAAATTATCTAAGTTTTAGTGTAAATATAAATAATTTTGTAACTGAATAGTAGTGAAATTTATTTATTTATTTAGAAATAAAATAAAAGATATATTTCAGCTTACAAATTTTAAATACTAATTTGTCATTTAAGAAAAAAAAATACTAATAGCATTTTTTTGGAAAGGAGGGAGTACTTCTTAAGTGGGATAGGGCTTCTTGTATTACATTACAATGAACAAATAATAACTACATAAACATATATAAATTAAAGTTTGTACAGAAAATTGTCTGGGTTGTTTTTCTCTAAAAGACTTTATCAACGAAGTTTTCTGAGAATTTCGTGTGGCCGGAAGGCTCTTTTCTAAATGAATTGTTTTTGGAACTATTCCAACATCAGGAAAAAAAATCAAAAACAAAATCACCTAGCCAAACCTTTATCTTGCACAAAATTTTTCTTCATAATATTTTCTGAAACATTGTCCAACTGCTATTTTCTTTGTTTTTTTTCCTCCTTTTACATTTTTAAATATTTGTTTAGTTTTAGAAAGTTATAAAAACTCATGAATAGTTGAGTATAATATTAATCCAAATGTGTTTGTTAGCTAAAAATTTAAAATTAGATATATAGCAATTCATTGTCAGTGCATGGAATGAATAAATTATGAGGAAAGTAGGTAACATACATAGGTGTATAAGATGTATGGGCTTTGTTTATGCAAGATGGAGTATGGTTCTTATTTGTAAAAACATGGGTCAAGTTGGACGGGTTGACTATAACCCATTGTTTAGCCCATCTTGACCCAGCCCATCTTGGCCCAAGTACACTTTGGACTGGGATGGGCAATAACCCATTTATTGATGGGATTTTTTCCTAACTATACCATATTTGAAACCTTATTACCAAAAATGTGCATAATTTGTATATTACCCGCCCAGTCCACACTTTAACTACAATTTATATACCAATCGTTTATTAGGCAGAATCTGCCATTTATTGCGCGCGAAAAATCAGCCACAAAATCTGGGATTGATTTATTCCAAATTAAATTCGAAGTTTGAAACGTAAAGGAGATCTGGAAGCTGCGTAATTTTGAAACGGAAAGCTTGAAAGCTTTGAATTCAAATTTGGGTTTTCAAAAATCATTATTTGTTTGGATTGGGTGTTGTTGAAAATAATCGGAAATATGATTTGGAGTTTATATCTCAATTTTGAGGAGTTTTGGTGAAGATTAGACTTGGTTTTGACTGAATTTCAGATTGAAACTCGAAGAAGAAGAAGAAGAAGAAGAAGAAGAAGAAGAAGAAGAAGANNNNAGTTTTGTACTAGGTAAGCTAAGAATATACAGAGAGACAATAGTGGTGGTCCTGACTCCTCGGTGGATGTGTGTGTGTGAGAGAGTGTGTGTTTGTGTGTGTGTGACAGAGAGAGTGTGTGTTTGTGTGTGTGGGAAAGGAGTGAGAAAGAGGAGGAAGATGCCAAAAGGTGCACGGTCTGAATCAGAGGATCACTTATGTTGACTTTTCTAGTGTTATTATACCAACTCAATAAGTATATTACTTATGTTTATATAAATTGTTATAGGTTAATTATAATTAATTAATGCATATTCTCCCCTCAATTTTATTTAACTATGATAAGCTAATACAATTATCTGTTTATTGCTTCTTTTTCATTATTACATGAGTCGATGGTCTATTAGAAACAGTCTCTCTACCTTTCTAAGATAGGGGTTAAGGTCTGCGTTTAAATTACCATNTCTAGTCGAAAGAAAAAGAATTGAATATTGTTCATAAAAATCCACTCGAGGGTTCAGCTTCAATGAGATTCTGGTTCGCCTAATATAAATTCAGATTTTGAATTTGTATTTTAGTTGAGATGAAAGGAAAGAGAAAGTGGGAATATACGGTCCTATAATTATGCCTAATATAAATGCACCCTTAATTATATCCCTGATTTGAATTATGGTATATAAATGGTAATTTGGTATGCTGAAACGTAATTAACTCAAACCTTAAACATTGAGGGTAATAAGGTTTCATATGTGGTATAGGAAGGTAAAAATCCCTTTATTAATTTAGTCCATCTTGACCCGCCCAAATTCTGCTCAACCCGCCCATTTGCCACCCCTAGATGTGACTGTTTAGTTGACACATTGATGAGCATTACAAAATAACTCTAAATCCAACCTCAGTTTTTAATTAGCATAATTGTCATAAAACTTCAAGTTCAATTATTTTAAAGAATAAACGATAACAAACTTTATGAAGGTGAAAGAACATGAGAAAAGAACATTTGAACCTTGAGATTGCCTCAATATCAACAGGTTTGATACTTTTCTTTTTTCATTCTTTCGTTTATGAGAACACCAAAAACAGATAATATGCCCATGACAAATGACGGGTCAAGTAGAAGATTGTGCATACTTCTAGGGCCATAGACCTGCATATACTCACTCTTTTGGTTAAATCACATCAAAAAAGAAGAGAGAAAGGAAAGCAGCAACAACAACAACAACAACAATCCAGTAAAATCTCACTAGTGGAGTCTGGGGAGGGTAGTGTGTACGCATACCTTACCCCTACTCCGAAGGGGTAGAGAGACTGTTTCCGAAAGACCCTCGGCTCAAAAAACAAAAGGACAAAAGGAGACAATATTAGTATCACCATAGAAGTCATAGGAAAAATGCGAACAGCATGAAATCCAGAAGAAAGATACAAAGCAAAGCAAAGCGATAGCTAGACATATGGTTTTAAACTCATGTTTGTGTAACCCCAAGGAATAATCCTTGAAGTTTGTCGGCCCAAACCGGACATATGTAGCATGGGCTTGCACTATTACAAATAGGGAAAATGACATTGTATAGGCGCTCTCAAAATAATAGTCAAAAAATATATTTATTTTTTTTGTATATATACATTCTTTATGTTATCTACAAATTTTATAGACTTTCTGCTCGAATGTAAATAATTCTGGCACGGGCTAAAAATAATAACACCGCTTACAAATATGATATTATAGTTATTGTTTGTGTATATATACATTATTACTGGTTTACGATAGTGGAATGTAAAAGAGAGTTACTAACAAGGCTTATAGAGTAGCCAACATTTGAAGAAATTAAAGAGTGCACATACCATATTAGGCAAATTTTGTTGACAGAAGAGATTTTAATGAAATACTACATGAGAGGTAACACAAGTTCATGTTTTAGGCGCACTTTTAAGATCAATGTGGTGTAACCCAAAGGATAAATCCATGAATCTATTTGATCAAAATGGATTGAGTTATGACAAATATAACTCTCGTTTTTCCGTTTATTTTGTACATAAACCACTATTTTGAGAAATTAAACAACCTTTTTGGATTTAATATCTTGAAAAAGTCAAGCAGGTTAATTGATTGTAAATGCCTTTCGGACATCCACATATTTAGAGAATCAGCATATAGTAGACTCGATGCAACTGAAAAAGGTTGTCACTTCAGTATTTCCTACCAGTTGTCATTTTCATTATTAAGATGTCAAAGTGCCAGTAACTATTTAAACAAAGCTACGCCTGAATAAATCAATATATGAACCTAATAATTATTGAGACATTTCTGTGACTAAAAACGAATATACACTTGCAGAATCATAATTATGCAACAATTCTAAAATTACAATGGGGGAGCTAGCTTAGTATCAGCCAAAACAACCCAACACTAATCCGCAAACATCATGCGGATCCCTTCCCCGTTCTGTCAACCTAAAGTGCTTCCTCAAACTTGGAATCAGGTATATGAATCAGTAGAATCTGGGGGAGTTGCAATGCAACTGGAATCTTGTCGTGTGAAACTAAACTGACCTTTCAATGGAACCTTCTATGTCGTATGTTGCTTGTATCGAGTATGCCACCTTGCGCTTGCTCCCAAGTTAAGAGAACAGCGATGAAGTATCTTTTTTCTTTGTAAGGAATCGTTATCAGGTTCATCAAACTCCATAAAATGGTAAGAACAATTTCACAAAGGAGTATGCCAATGCCCCCGTAAATATGTAGCTGTCCACCCTGTCCAGTATTCCCCCTGCAAAACAGGCATTGCTTCATTCAAGAAAGACCCAAGAAACTTGCCACGACGCTGCTAGCCAGTTAACATTCTCGTTTAGCTCAGATAACAATGCTAAAGGATGATCATTTCTAATTGGGCAAGTATCTAGCATAGCTATACAAGGCTATAGCAGATGGATTTACAAAGTTAAGAAAGCGTAAAAACCCTAGGAAGTAGTAGATCTTCATTGATGGGACATTCCCCCTGGATTGTCATGCTCAAGTTTGATAACTCAACACGTGACCTCAGTTTTTGGAGTCTTACACTACTCTTTCCGCAACTACCCAAAGAGTTTGGTTACTGGGTCCAAAAGATGACAACGAGACCATCCAGATAATCTTTTATTTTCCCGCCATTATAGTCCTGTTAACAAATTAAATCGAAGTTGATAAAGGAAGAATGCCCACAACCCACAGCACACGACATATTAGTACATCAGAGACCACCAGCAATCACACATTAGTACATCATTTTTCTTAAAAAACAAAGGACATCAGAGATTGTTCATGGCTGCTATTGTCTAGACTAGGCTTCGTACATGATCCTCCCGTTCCAAAGACATAAAGAAGACCTTTGGAATACTATCTCAAAGAAAAGGTCTACTTAGAATTTAGCACGCCATACTGTGGAAAAATCCAAGATACTGGTTCATATGACATTAATTCCATTGTCTAGCATATAATGACAGTCAAAATGTTAACAACCATATCCTCATATAGTTGTGCCTGCTGTCAGAGATAACCACACTTCCAAAGCGACATATACCAATATCAGCCTATGAGAAACAAAGTTTTAACATATAAAAGTCATGTCGAAACTTATGATAGGACACATAAATGACAAACTTTATTACCTCTTCATTGATCAATGATATCCTCTCAAGTTTCAAAAAATTAAAATTATCTTCCCTATTTGATATTTAGAGATTCAATTTCCAGTATGCCCATTATTTTTTTGGGGGGGATAAAACAGGATGCCTACTATGTTTTGGCTTCACAACAGAGTTCAATTTATCACTGAAAAGTACAATCAAAGGCACAGAAGTAGTTACCATGTCCAGGAATGAGAGATCCTGAGTCCTTCACACCGGCATCACGTTTGATCATTGACTCAGTAAGGTCACCGAAAAGAGATCCAAAGAAGTTCAGAATTCCAAAAGCTACAGCACTGAAAAGCCGTTCAGACACAAACATCAATTCCGAAAGCTACGATTTTCCAATTTACAGGTTCACAGTAAAGGCTAAACAATTTTAAGGCTCAAACTGTACCTACCTAGAATGTGAATACACCACAAAAAGAAACCAAAAATCCTTTCGTATATATCAAGTGCTTTTAGAAGAAAAAATGGATAGAATAAACTCCAAACATGAATTTTCAAAATATAAGTTGTAATAAATAGAACCCCTGATATGCTTTTTTAAGTGCTAGCAACTAAAATGCTAACGTGATGACTAGTTAATATGACATAATATCTACTCCTGTAAAGTATTCTATTTTTTACATGAGTATACGATATTATATAGAGATATAAAGACTCAAAATTACCCTCGGGAAATGCTATGGTTCTTTCACCACCACTGTATATCATTCCATTATTTTATATTTTTATCAGATAATATTTATTAGTTAACCTCTCTAAAATGGGGAAAAAAAGATGATAAAGATGACATCAACCAAATCCTAGCCCCACCCCTATATATTCACCCACCAACAAGGAGAATATTCCTTACTGCAGCTATAGACACATCAAAGGGTCTGAAACAGATGGTACTGCATAACAAGTAATTACCACCGTTGAAAATATTATTACCTTAATGTGAATGTAGGCCAACAGAAAATTCTTGATAACAACACAGAAGTGGCTATACAACCTCCTAAGCCTGCAGCAGCTCCCTCCCAGGTTTTCTTTGGGCTAATGTTAGTAAGCGGTGTCCTACCAAAAGCCTGCAAAGGATTTCAACTCTGTTATGTGTCTCTCCTTCACAGACCACCAAAGAGACATCACAATTACTTGGATTTGTTCCACTACTCCAAATAAAAAAGCATCAGAACTAAGAAATTTTTTATTGTAATCCCAGCCTGCAAAGATTAAAGGACAACAAGCGGAACAGGACAAGCAAAGGGGAAACCAATAGATGCATACTTCCTTCGCAATTTAATATCAAAGGTTTATTAGTAAGAGTCCAACTTTGAATTGGATTGATCACGTGAAAGTCCGCATAGAGACAATTCGGCAATCACCAAACCAATTTGAATGGGATTCAGAGTATCAACAGTTCATTGAGTTTTAAAAGACATAATTGCATTCGCGTAAATCAGCTGTTATTCTTACTTCAACAGATTCCTCTGAAGAATGGATGTCATTAGAAGTTACAGACCTCAAGAAATTAGCAAACTCCGATCTAGTGGTTTAAGAGATCCTGGATACCACATCTGCCAAGACGTCAATCTAGTTAGCTAAGAAGATTACTTGAAGGCAAGCTGGTGCCAAGTCTGGTTCTCTAAGAAGATTATTTGAAGGCAACATTACTAGCTTACACATGTGGCTTTTATCGGTAGATAGTTAATCAAGTTAAGACATCTTTAATACGTCCTCTGTCCCTCTCTCTCACCTCCAGCTTATTTTCTTCTTTGGATTCTTTGTCTCTTCGTAGTTCATCCAACTACAGAGTAACATGCAACCCCCCCCCCCCCTCCTTCTGTCTATGCGTGTGTGTGTGTGTGCGTGTATGCACATTGACATGGACTGTTGGTGGTAGTTCCGTTCAAACCTTGGTCCTCAACTTCAGTAATATCAATTTTAGTATTTTGCAATTATTTCAAGTTTTCTTTTATAACAGCACTAAAACTTCAAGTTACCCTTGTTATCCTGATCCTGAGCCCTTAGTCTACTTAGAGACATATGCCAATTTAAGGATGAGTGTGAGAATTAGAGAACCTCTAGTTTTAGGAACCCCTGGTTTAACTTAAATTAATTAGTATCCGAAAGAAATGGATCTGAATCAAGTAAAGTATTTTACGGAGGATTTATATAAAGAATCCAGCACTAAGACAGTGCTGAATGTTACAGCTGCCAGAATAATATAGTGAAGCTCAATTTTCCCTAAATATTGTATTACAGGCAAATGCCAGACAAAATCAAAGCAGGTTTATCTTCAATGCCTAGAATGGATCCAAAATAATCATTTAAACCTCTCTAAATAGCTACTATTTCCATGATTCCACAACAAAAGATCAGGAGAGGATACAAGACAAGCCAATTCAGTGTCTTATCAAGTCTATCACATTTTCATGGTAGGATGAGACAAGAGATGCAATGACATCAAAGACAGGTGCACCAAAAATATGATAATGCCAGGTTATGTACTGCATTTTTTAACAAGAAAACACAGGGTCTTTGGACTGTTTTAGTCTGAAACATCTGAACAAGGATAGAACCAATTTACAAAAATAACATCAACAGTGAAAAGTACCTTGCCTCCAATAAAAGCAAATGTATCTGCTGCAATGATACTACTGAATGAAATTAAGGTTGCCACAAGCCCCACAGTCCACTGAGTTTGGCCTCCAAAAATGACAGGCCATGATGCTCCCAGTCCTGTGTAAACCCATTGAAACGCCAATAAAAGTCAGAAGACCAGTAGCTGAAGCGGATCAGCTGTCGAAGAGACCCACTGCAAAGAATTTTCAAATGCTACATTAGATATCAAGTTAAAATTCCATATAATAGTAGTGTCTAGACCAGCTTGCGCATATCTCAACTAATTCACTGGATACCTGTTACCTGCCACCAACATAGGCAGGGCTAAGATGAAGAATGCACCTACTGAACTTGTTCCCAAGGTTCTCAGTCCATCTCTTTGACCATTAGGCTATCCATTCGGGGGCTTAGATATCAAGTTACATTATCTTTTTTCTTTTTTTACTATTCCCTTTTAGCAAGAGGGTAGGGAGAGCATGGGGTGTTTATATAGCAACATTAAGATTACATCTGTAATGGCCAAATGCAGGCTCTGTATTACTTTAAAGCTGTCTTGCCTTTTACTTAAACAGTTGATGATGCTATTCTATACTACGACTTACCCCTACCCCCCCCCCCCCCCCCCAAAAAAAATAAGAAAAAGAAAAACCAAAATTGCTGATAGTAAGAAAAAAATAAGGTTTTTCAAGGCATGAAACATAAGCGGCTAAGTTAATATTTATCAACAAAAAGAACAAGTGACTGAGATAATTTTATCAGATTACATTTATCCAATAAATGTATCGTATCAGATTACACTGTTAGGATGTTAAATCTGTAACAATTGTTTGACACCACACTCTTTTGTTCATGCTTGATTGTCTCAATAGGAAACTTGTTCAGAGCCCTGGCCTACTTGAGCTGGAAGTTTTAGCGGGTCCATCACATAGTGAGACACAAATAATGACTCCTAAGCTAAGTAGCACATAACACTGCCACAGACATAAAGAAACAAAAGAAACGCCTGACTGTGACCTCATATGCAGACAGGTAATCATATATAATTTAGACGATGTGTTAATATCACAGGAAAATTGTAATTTTCTTTTATAAAAAGGGAAGAATTTAGAAGGCACTTTGTGTATAAAAGAAGATTATTAATAAGAAAGGGAGAATGAGAAGACTTTAAGGAAAATCGAATGATATGGATCAGCACATTTGCTACTTTTCTCTACTTTTGGAGTATGCATCACGTGCTGCTTTGGGTAGATGATTGGATGGAAATTGGAGCTAATCATTCTGTACAATGCTCTTGGGGTCATTTGGTACAAAACAAGGTTATCCGAGGTTTATAATCCTGGAATATAACCAGAATTATAATCCCACTTTCTATTTGGGATAGATAATACCAAGATTTTGGTATAAAATTTATACCTGTATTAGCTAATATCAATAACCAAACGGTGGATACA